CCGGGTGTTCTTGCCTGGAGAATCCCAGGGATGGCGGAGCCTGGTGGGCTGCCGTCTATGGGGTCGCACATTCAGACACGACTGAAGCGACTTAGCAGCAGCAGCAGCAGGCCGGGAGGAGAATGTCTGATTCTTCCTTCTTTTATAAAGGCCTTAACTCATTGTGTTGGGCTTCCCTTGATAATCTAACTTTGATGAACTCAAAAAGGACCCATAACTGTATCTGTAAAACCCCTTTTGCCATGTAAGGTGACATGATCAAGGCAGTGATATCGCATGTCTTCACAAGTTCTTTCTACACTCCAAGGGAAAAGATGATACAAAAATGTGGGTCACGGAGGGTCTCATAGAATTCTGCCTAACACATTCATGTAAAAGCTAGTTGGCTGGAAAAGAAAATCTTAAGATTTTATGATGACAACTGCTCAAATGAGAACTTACTAAACTTATACATGAAATGGAAAGTTTATATAAGTTCTCAGGATGCTGACAGATTTAGGAAAGAAATACACATTTTTTTTTTCCCTATACTAAATGGCAAATATTCAGATTTCAAAGCTGCACAGAAGATTAAAAGCTACAGTGAAACTCCCTGCAGTTTTGCATACAGAGTTGCCCAGAGGCACCAAAGGATTTCTGAGTCAGACTTATAGGGGGGGAAAACAGTTAGAAGAAAATTATGCTTGCTCATTCCACTGTTCAAAGCATATGGCAAAAAATGTCTCATCACAGCCTACAGAATAAACTTCAAGCTCCTTAATCTGAAATAAAATATCCATGATTTAATTGTTCCATATCAAGCTGCACAGAAGATTAAAAGCTACAGTGAAACTCCCTGCAGTTTTGCATACAGAGTTGCCCAGAGGCACCAAAGGATTTCTGAGTCAGACTTATGGGGGGGGAAACAGTTAGAAGAAAATTATGCTTGCTCATTCCACTGTTCACAGCATATGGCAAAAAATGTCTCATCACAGCCTACAGAATAAACTTCAAGCTCCTTAATCTGAAATAAAATATCCATGATTTAATTGTTCCATATCTTCCCATTTATCTCTCATGTCTGTATCACTCAGAAAGCTGCAGTTCCTTCAAACAATCAAATTCTTTTTACTCTCCATAAGGACACCGTTCCTTTCTTTAGAATGCTCTACCACCTACTTTTACCCACAAACCATATCGTGAATTCCATTCATCCCTTAAGATCCACTTATTTATTTAACAGACATTTACTGAGTACCAATATACATCAATGAACACTTGTCTTTACCTCTATCACAAAGTAGGGCTTGTTTCTGCTTCTTGTTTTGTACAAAAATCTAGCCAGCTCATAATTCTATTACTGTACCTGTTAGATTTTATGTTTATATGTCCATCCCCCCAAAATGAATACCTTAAAGAAGTAATTCTGTTTTGGTTATATTTCTAGAACTAATTCAGGGATTGTTACAGCTCATCAATCATGGTTTGCTCAAGGTAGTAATAATAATGATAGCAATAATAACAATAATATCTAAATGATATGCAGTGATTCCTTATACTATGAAAATACTTTATACATATCATTGTTCTTCAGTCGCTAAGTCATGTCTGTGACCCTCTGGACTGCAGCACGCCAGGTCTCTTTGTGTCTTCACTATCTCCCAGAGTTCACTCAAATTCATGCCCATTGAGTTGGTGATGCCAGCCAACCATCTCATCCTCTGCTTGCCCCCTTGTTCTCCTGCCCTCAGTCTTTCCCAGCATCAGGGTCTTTTCCAATGAGTTGGCTCTTTGCCTCAGATGGCCAAAGTGTTAGAGCTTCAGCTTCAACATTAGTCCTTCCAATGAATATTCAAGTTAATTTCCTTTAGGATTGATTTCCTTTAGGTTTGATCTCCTTGCTGTCCTCCCTTGGAGAGGGAGAGTCCCTTCTCTCAAGAGTCTTCTCCAGCAGCATCATTTGAAAGCATCAATTCTTTGGCACTCAGCCTCCTTTACGGTTCAATTCTCAAATCCATACATGACTAATGGAAAAACCATAGCTTTGACCGTATGGAGCTTTGTTGGCAAAGCGATGTCTCTGGTTTTTAATATACTGTCAAGTTTTGTCATACAAGTTGGTTTGTATAAAATCCCTACAATAGTACTTTGAGGCAAGTTTTATAATCCTCATTTACTGGCTGAGAAACTAAAGTTCAAAGACAGAGGCAAGACTTCTGTATGTTACTAATACTTCTCAACATTATGTTCTTTGTGGCAATGTGGCCCCCAAACAGGAGCATCATCATCACTCACAAATTCAACACATTGCTTAACATATATATTCTTGGGTTCCAACTCATACCTACTCAATCAGAAAAACTGGGGTCAGACCCCTATAACCTGAGATTTAACAGGCCCTGGAGGTGATGATGGTACCTGCTAAAGTTTAAGGACCATGGCTCTATAATCTAATATAGAAATAGCCTGGCCAAGAAAATGTGATCAGGTAAGAGTGTGAAGCAACTTTCCTCTAGAAACTTGGTAATTGAATTCATATGATAGAGAATAATGGCAAAACAATGTATAGAGAAATGACTCCTCCTAAAATCAGAAGTCACTTTTAATGCTCATAACTCTTAAATAGAGTTTGAAATTTAACACCGAGTCAATATGTTGAACTTGTCAATGCTTAGTTAAAACATATGGAAAATAATCCTTTCCCCCCCACAATATAACTACTTTGGGATTTATTGTACACAATGTTACACATTCCTGTTTATAGGAAAATATTCCTCATATCTGCTTTTATCATACCAAAGTCATCTTAAACATCTCCAGGTCAAAGTTCTTGTTTTCTTTAGTTGTATATTCACTCATGTGCCATAATTCTAGTTGGGAGATATTTTAACAATTTCTTATTGAATTGAATTTAGCTAGGTTTGATTAGCCTCTCTATTCCCTTTCTTTACACTAGGGAGTGTCTTTATAAAAGGTCTCAAGTAATATTGTAGTAAAAATTGCTACATGGTAATAGGGAGTCAAATTCTGATTTCTGAAAAGACAAGAATGCAAGATAAGGATGGAACACTCCTTTTAGGGAGACATGTCTGCTGAGGGATTTTAGAGTATATTTCCATTCCCCAGGTAGAGAGCAAGCAATAGTAATGAATGTGCACTCTGTATAGAATACTGCATACAGCATAATTTGCATATACTCCTATTAAAACAGCTTAGAGGACTCAGGAAGTTCACTGTGTGATCGTGTAGACAAACTATTTAAGCATGCAAAAGATGAGTCATAAACAAATAAAAAGCTATATAAACAAATGCAAGTATAGGAACAACAAATGCTCTGTTAATGGCCATGCACTGGTGAGAATAGGAAAAAGAAAGCTTCAGTACTTTTGGACCAAGCATAGAGCCTATGCTGATTCTGTATACTGTTTTGTCTTGATTTTCATTCTAGTCTTGATTCAGATGATTTTGGACTATGGTGCTTATAAGATCAAAACTTCGTGTTTTTGTATATAAACAAATGTTCTCTCTCTACTTAGTCTATGAGCAAATTCAGTATTCAGAGCAGATGTCAAATTTGCCAAAAATTAAGATATTTTATAAAAATATTTTTATGAAAATACCATGCATTTCTCATAAGGCTACAATGTTAAAAAAAACAATCAATCAATATTAATGATTAGTATGTTAGTCTCTGATTTCCCTGAGGGTATATTTATCTAAAACACAAAATGGTAAGAAATTAGGAGAAGTTGACTAATTTACTAACTAATTTAATGTCAGAATTTAGAAAAGGATGCATGTAGGTAATAATTTAACTGAAGGAGAGTATTTAAGAAGAACATTGTAGGATAAACTGAGTCTTTCACATAGAAAAGTATCTGATTTGTAAGAATTCACTGCCTGGAGCTTTCTTATAGGCCAAAGAAATCAGATTTTAAACTTATCCTCCAGGTTAGGACTTTCAATCAGAAATCCTTATACAGAAAAGGTGGCTCGATTAGAGCCTTGTCCTACTAAGATAACTCTGGGAGCAGTGTAGAGGGTTCATTTAGAAAAGCTCTAATCAAGACCAGACATTTAATACACATACATAAACAAATAAACCCTAAGGGTAGAAATAGAATGAATGGTCCTGAGCCCTGGCAGACTATAAGAGCAAGTTTAATTTAGCAAAGTGATGTATCTGACTTGTGAATTGGGTGCTTATATTTCTCTAAATTTAGCCCAATAAAATGTATTTACTAAATGTTTTAAAGCAAAGACAGTGATTATGGATATATTACAGATAGTTCCTTGTTTGGGGAAAAAAAAATATATATATATATATATAATTGGGTTTTAACAGACATATGATATCAGGTCTGAGATATGTGCATGTGGGGTAAAAAAGAAAAATCACTACTAACCTTAATAGCCATCTCCTCTGTAAACTTATTCCACCTTAAAAGAGTGTGTGCATATGTGTGCATGTGTGTTTAAGGGCATGAAGGAGCAGAACTACGGTTAACATTTACATTTCTATGCATTTTTACTGAGACTAGTACATTTTTTGCCCTCTGTGAGAACTACTGAAAAACAAATTCATTAATGTTTAGCTAGTTTTATTCTCAGAAATTTGTATTTTCAGAACCACCAAGTTGAAGAAATAATTCATGGAATTTCTCTGTCTATAAATACTATAGATGAGTTCTAAAATGGCCACATCTAACAAATACTTAGCCCTTACTATTGTCAAGCATAAACCTCTGTGGCTTTTGTATATTAACTCATTTATTTCTCCAACTTTCCCACTAGATATATATCATTCTAAAACTGTTTTACATGAGAGAAAAATGGAGCACACAGAAATAGTGTTCACATACCTTGTAAAATTACCCAATTTAAGGTAAATCTGGTTCAAATTACACTTAATCAGAAACTGACTACATTTGAAAAAGGAAATGTAAAACTCTGTGGATCTAACACTTCGTGACAGTTTCAATACATTAATATGGATTAGGAGACTTTTCCCCCATCCTTACCTTTAATCTCTTTGTCGTTTTTGAACCATCTTATATCAGCTGCAGGTTTACTACCAGATGTTTTACAAGTCAGCTGCATCAAGTCTCCTTCCATAACTGGGGATGAAAATCCACTAATTTGAGGTTTCTCAGGAACACCTGAAATGTAGGCAAATGGATGAAATGAACATTAATCTCCAATGGTGATTTGTTTTCATGACTATTACTTTTGCAAACAAGCCAAACTGGATGTTCAACAATAACTTCAGTCAAGAAAAATAAAATAAAATACAATAATAAAAACTGTTATATAATAAAAGTTACTTAAAATATATAGTATATATATTTTATTTATATACACACACACACACACACACACACACATATATACTGGAGAAAGAAATGGCAACCCACTCCAATACTGTTGCCTGGAGAATCCCATGAAGGAGGAGCCTGGTGAGCTACAGTCCATGGGGTCATAGAAGAGTTGGACACGACTTAGTGACTCAACAACAACAACAACATATAAACATATATACATGCAAATACATATGTATGTGTCTGTGTAAATATGCATATGTGTGTATATTATCCAGAAAGCATTTAAAATGCATTTAATTCCAAGTAGTTTTTTTTAATTAAATTTTACCAGCAAAAATACTCTTTGTAAATCTTAAAAACAACCATTCAATGTATCTTAAGATTTACCACTGTATTTGTTTAAGAAGGTAGATTGCTTGCATCAGGAAAAAAAAAATCAGCAAACCATATTTCTTCATTCTTTAGCAAACTGTGATTTAACCACAATAGCACTTTTCATTCCTGACTTCATAATTCTTAGACCTTAAAAGATATTGTTTTTCTCTGTATACATTTTTTTAGAAAATGCATTTTGGAATAAGGGATTCATCAATAATTGCAACTATACTTATTATTCTTATTCTTCTGAGGGAAAGAATGTCTCTTGATGTCATTTGTATTAGAAATACAATTATAGTTTTGTGGCACATGATATGTAATATTTTTAATGCTAGTTAATGCTAGCCACTTATTACCTTTTCTAGTCCAAATCATCCAGTGAATAAACAGAAAGCTAATATTCAGAGATAGACATGGATGACTTAAATAATAGAATGTTACACATTTTAGAGGCAATAATATTCTGCTGTCATGATAGAGATTTATTAAAATTTCTTCTAAAAGTGTTCAATAAAAAAAGCAGGCTGGAAGCTTCTTTATTGTACTATTTAATTCAAAGTTTGAAAAGAATAAAATGTAAGAATGTTGGAAGTCACCAATAAAAGAAATGCAAACTAAAAGAACAACAAGAACAATAAAGATAAATGACAAATTGACATATTTCATTAGCTGGCTAGCTTTATTTATTTATTTATTTTTTCTGTTCACCTTCATACTGCTTAAAAAAATGATATCACATCACCATTTAATAAACTGAAAGTAGGCAATTACCTATTTCTTGGGGTCTCGAGTTGGCTCTCTACAGAACAATACATTAACCTTAGGCATCTGCTATCCTGAAATACTCCATTTAATGGATATATTTTGTCCTTAGTGGCAAACTTGTGAAGATTTTTATACAATAGTCCCAGTGGGACTTGCAAAGAAACATATTTCATATCCTATGCATAAAACAAATTCACTAGTTGGATTAACTTTAATATTCTAAACCAAAAAAAAAAAAAAAAAGAAAAGAAAAACCCAGCATGCATTAGTTACTTTAAATACATTGTTATGCTTTTATCTATCAAAAAAAAGGAAGGCAAACTGAGGCAAAAAAAAAATCAATCTTTAAATTCCTCTAACTTGTTCAGTACACAGGTGTGTTTCAATGAACTGCAGCAATTTCAGCTGATTGGGCCACTGACGTCTGTGGAATCACAGAGCTCTGAGCTGCAACTTTATTTCCCCAGAAACACTATGAATGTATTGCTTTCTGATGTCATCATAACCTTTAGAAAAATGGCCCAATACTTAGAGAATAAAAACACAGAAGTTGCAAACTGCATACACAAGCAACGCAATGCATTTCATTCAGCAATCTAGAAAAGTACAAAGTTAAAAAGCAAGAAGACAAATAGAAATGTCAGGGTCATTTAAATGTACTTAGATAAACAAAGGGGTCATGTTTGGAAGTCAAAAGATATTAGGAGGAGCCCATCAGGTGACTGATGATAAGATGGAGGAGTACTCATAGATACATTGACTTCATTATGCTCATTATTCTATCCCTTTATAAAAGGAGCACCATACATACACTAAAGGGCTGATTTGACACAAAGGAACTTAGCTGAAAAATCAAAAAACCTGTTATCTATCGCTGGCTAAGAAACAAAATGGCTGTGTGCTCTTAGGAACTCCTACAAACCTTCACACCTCTTTGTACCTATTTGCGAAATGGGGGAAATGACTGTGAGTTTTTTAAAAGCCTTTTGATAATCCTCAAAGTGGAGATTTATTATTGAATCATGTTGCTATATCTGTATGCATCTCTCTGGCTTGTGATCATATAGTGTAAGTCTCTTGCACTTACCCAGGACAGTGAGATAGGCCTTGGAAGTTTTGACAGGCATTGTGAATAAAGAACAGGTGTACTGTCCTTCATCAGACAGAGAGACATCACTGACGCTGATACTCAGTTCATGCCAGGAAGCCCGAACCAGCTCGATTCTATTGTCTCTTAAGGCTGGAAAAAAGAAAATATTGAAAATGTGAATTACAACAGTAGACAAAGTCCTGTAAGACCACATACTTTTAGCACAATATATAGCAAACATGAACTATACAGTCCATGGAATTCTCCAGGCCAGAATACTGGAGAGGGTAGCCTTTCCCTTCTCCAGGGGATCTTCCCAACATAGGGCTTGACCCCAGGTCCCCCAACTGCAGGCAGATTCTTTACCAGCTGAGCCACAAGGTAAACCCAAGAATACTGGGGTGGGTAGCCTATCCCTTCTCAAGCAGATCTTCCTGACCCAGCAATCGAACTGGGGTCTCCTGCATTCAGGCAGATTCTTTACCAACTGAGCTATCAGAGAAGACTTCCTGGCCATGAGGGTGTCTAAATATTGTTTCCTAAAACATTTTAAAGTAATGTTTACATATACTGAATTTTTAAATCAGATTTTTTTTTACAAAGTAGAATTGTGTTCCTTAATGTTCTCAGAAACAACTTTTTAATTAAATGATTGGATCTAGTATATATGATGCTTTGGATGATGTAGATATTGATGGTGATAAAAATGGCTTTCCTTCACAAAGTCTTTCATGAGTTGCCAGTACCAAGAAAAGCTATAAACAAAATCATTAACTTCTGTGCACAGACAAAATTGGGAAAACTATGACTGCTCATTTCCTTCTAGGAAACCAGCAATGAACCTAAGCATATTGAAAGTTTCTCTGCAGTAGAGACACCTGTCAAACTATTTTTTAATCCAGAGCTTACTTTCAGCTGAAAAGGACCCAGGGAGTTGTTGTGGTTGTTTAGTTGCTAAGTTGTGTGACTCTTTGTGAACCCATTGACTGCTGCCTGCCAGGCTCCTTTGTCCACGGGATGTCCCAGGCAAGAATACTGGAGTGGATTGCCATTTTCTTCTGCAAGGGATCTTCTGGACCCAGGGATCGAACCCATGTCTCCTGAATTAGCAGGTGGATTCTTTATCGCTGAGACACTAGAGAGGTCCACCCAGAGGCTACCTGATATTTTTTTGCTCTGATTGGTTTCTGCCTCTGCTGTAGTATTTGTTTTGTTGCTGTTGTTAGTCGCTCAGTTGTGTCTGGCTCTTTGAGAACCATGGACTGTAGCCCACCAGACTCCTACATCCCTGGGATTTTCCACGTAAGAACTGGAATAGGTTGCCATTCCCTTCTCCAGGCGATCTTCCCAACCCAGTGATCGAACCTGGGTCTCCCACAATGCAGGCAGGCTCTTTACTGTCTGAGCCACCAGGGTTTAAAATATACTTTGGTTCAAATCACCTTTTCTTACACAGAACACTTGTTTTCACAGAAGATCTCTTAACAACTTGCTGATTTATGCTCCTTTTAGATCATTTTGGGAAAATCATTAAAAAGTTTAAATATCATTATATTTTCCTCTAAATACAGCTATAAAATCAGTAACTAGGCAAGAGGTACTAAAGGAGTAATTTGAAAAGTAGGAAGAGGACACAGGACTGGTTAGGGATTCTAGGACCCAGTTCTGTTCAGTTCAGTCGCTCAGTCGTGGACACTTTGCGACCCCATGAACTGCAGCACGCCAGGCCTCCCTGTCCATCACCAAATCCCAGAGCCTACCCAAGCTTATGTCCATTGAGTCAGTTATGCCATGCAATCATCTCAACCTCTGTCCTCCCCTTCTCCTCCTGCTCTCAATCTTTCCCAGAATCAGGGTCTTTTCAAATGAATCAGCTCTTTGCATCAGGTGGCCAAAGTATTACAGTTTCAGCTTCAACATCAGTCCTTCCAATGAACACCCAGAACTGATCTCCTTTAGGATGGACTGATTGGATCTCCTTGCAATCCAAGGGACTCTCAAGAGTCTTGTCCAACACCACAGTTCAAAAGCATCAATTCTTCAGTGCTCAGCTTTCTTTATAGTCCACTCTCACACCCATACTGGAAAAACCATGCCTTGACTAGATGGACATTTGTTGTCAAAGTAATGTCTCTGCTTTTTAATGTGCTATCTAAGTTGGTCATAGCTTTCCTTCCAGGGAGTAAGCATATTTTAATTTCATGGCTGCAATAACCATCTGCAGTGATTTTGGAGCCCAGAAAAATAAAGTCAGCCACTGTTTCCACTGTTTCCCCATTTATTTGCCATGAAGTGATGAGATGGATTCCACGATTTTAGTTTTCTGAATGTAGAGCTTTAAGCCAACTTTTTCACTCTCCTCTTTCACTTTCATCAAGAGGCTCTTTAGTTCTTCACTTTCTATCATAAGTGTGGTGTCATCTGCATATCGGAAGTTAGTGATATTTCTCCCCACAATCTAGATTCCACCTTGTGCTTCATCTAGCCTAGTGTTTCTCATGATGTACTCTGCATCTAGGATAAATAAGCAGGGTGACAATATACAGCCTTGATGTACTCTTTTTCCTATTTGGAACCAGTCTGTTTTTCCATATCCAGTTCTAACTGTTGCTTCCTGACCTGCATACGGGTTTCTCAAGAGGCAGGTCAGGTGCTCTGGTATTCCCACAGAACTTCCCAGTTTATTGTGATCCACACTGTCAAAAGCTTTGGCATAGTCAATCAAGCAGAAATAGATGTTTTTCTGGAACTCTCTTGCTTTTCTGATGATTCAGCGGATGTTGCTAATTTGATCTCTGGTTCCTCTGCCTTTTCTAAAACCAGCTTTAACATCTGGAAGTTCACGGTTCACATATTGTTGAAGCCTGGCTTGGAGAGTTTTGAGCATTACTTTACTAGCATGTGAGATGAGTGCAATTGTGCGGTAGTTTGAACATTCTTTGGCATTTCCTTTCTTTGGAATTGGAACGAAAACTGACCTTTTCCAGTCCTGTGGCCACTGCTAAATTTTCCAAATTTGCTGACATATTGAGTGCAGCACTTTCACAGCATCATCTTTTAGGATTTGAAATAGCTCAACCGGAATTCCATCACCTCCACTGCTTTGTTCATAGTGTTGCTTCCTAAGGCCCACTTGACTTCACATTCCAGGATGTCTGGCTCTAGGTGAGTGATTACACCATTGTGATTATCTGGGTCATGAAGATCTTTTCTGTACAGTTCTTCTGTGTATTGCCACCTCTTCTTAATATTTTCTGCTTCTGTCAGGGCCATACCATTTCTGTCCTTTATTGAGCCCGTCTTTGCATGAAATGTTCCCTTGGTATCTCTAATTTTCTTGAAGAGATCTCTGGTCTTTCCCATTCTATTGTTTTCCTCTATTTCTTTGTATTGATAGCTGAGGAAGGTTTTCTTTTCTCTCCTTGCTATTCTTTGGAACTCTTAATTCAAATGGATGTATCTTTCCTTTTCTCCTTTGCTTTTCACTTCCCTTCTTTTCACAGCTATTTGTAAGGCCTCCTCCGCCAGCCATTTTGCTTTTTTGTATTTCTTTTTCTTGGGGATGGTCTTGATCCCTGTCTCCTATACAATGTCATGAACTTCAGTCCAGTCATTCATCAGGCATTCTGTCTATCAGATCTAGTCCCTTAAATCTATTTCTGACTTCTACAGTATAGTCATAAGGGATTTGAATTAGGTCATAACTGAATGGTTTAGTGGTTCCCCCGACCTTTCTTCAATTTAAGTATGAATTTGGTAATAAGGAGTTCATGATCTGAGCCATAGTCAGCTCCTGGTCTTGTTTTTGCTGGCTATATAGAGTTTCTCCTTTGGCTGCAAAAAATATAATCAATCTGATTTCAGTGTTGACCATCTGGTGATGTACATGTAGAGTCTTTTCTTATGTTGTTGGAAGAGGGTGTTTGCTATGACTGGTGCATTCTCTTGGCAAATCTCTATTAGCCTTTGCCCTGTTTCTTCTCGGATTAACAGTACAATGGTAACAACAGAGAATATAATCAGTGAACTTAAGGACAGAGAAACATAATTCACCTGATCCAAACAAGAGAGAGAAAACTGATTGGAAAACAAACAAAAAAACAGAATCTTAGAACTCTAAGGGAAAATGACACAGTATCCAACATTGTTACCATATGAGTTGCAAAAGATGAGAAAGAGAGTGGGGCTGAAAGAATTTAAGAAATAATGGTCAAAAACTTCACAACTCAGGCAAAAGAAAAAAAAAATCGAGAGGAAGAATAAATTCAAATTGGATAAACCAAAAGCCCACATCAAGATATAGCTAAATTAAAATTCTGAAATCCAAAGAAAATGAATAAAACCTTAAGAGTAGACACAGAGAAAGACATAGTACCTATAAGAACCAATTCAAATGACAATATGTTAATATTTCTCATTTGAAATTATGGAGGTCGGAGGCAGTGGCACATTTTTGAAGTGCTGAAAGAAAATATCGATAGTAAATTCTTATCCAATGAAACCACCATTCAGGAACCAGGGGGAAATAAATGTATTTTTGGAAGAAGGAAAACTAAAAAGCATGTTCCTCTAGCAGATCTGTCTTAAAGAAAAGTTAAAGTTCTTCAAACAGAAAAGAAAAACAATTGAAGCATTAAGAAGGAAGAAAGAACATGTGACAGAAAAAAAAAATGGGTAGATACAAGGTAGACTACTCTTTCTATAGTTCCCCAACTATATGATAATTAAGCAAAAATTATACCATCAACTGATGCAGTGTTCAACATGTAAAGATGGATTAGTCAAAGTAAATAAAAAGTGGTAGGGCAAAGGGATCTAAAGAAGTAATGTTTTCATACTTTATTAGAAGTGGTAAAACTGGTAGACTGTGATAAGTCATATATGTTTAAAATTTCTATCTGGAGCAACTACGAAGAAAATATACAAAGTGATACATTCAAAAACTCTGTAAATAAATTAAGATGAAGTCTATTTATATAGTGTCTTGAAATAACTAAAACTATAGAGCTGGAGAAATTAATTCTTCCCAAGGGTTAAGGTTAGTAAGAGGTGGGGGGAAGTGGAAGGGTGGAAGGGACATGAGTGTGGTTATAAAACCAGAGCACAGGGGATCATTGTGGTGATAGAACTGTTTTGCATCTTGACTCTGG